AGAGAGAGAGAGAGAGAGAGAGTCGAAACCTAGTAAAATCATAATCTACATATTCTTATGCTTCGCTCGACATAACAGTGTAGACTGTCCTTGTTGAAGTGCGGTCTAATGACCATCTCGGAGCACTGCGTGTGTGTTTGAGTTTTGCTAACCTTTCGAAAATTTTCAACCCCTGATCATTCTGAATCACGAAACTGGTCAATAATCGGTACCAGTCAACCAAATCTGTACCTTACCAATTTAAGCGATTCGCATTAACGCCAAACAACTTTTGCATGACCGAAAGCGTCCAATCAGATGCATATGGAAATCAATCAAGTGCAGCCCTTTTTCAATGGTCAACTTTGTTGGGTAGATACTTAAAGATCTTCATATTTGCTTTCCAGATGCGTCAGGTTTTAATGTGTTTCATACAGAAGAGAATATCACTGGTTTGACTATAAGATACCGTTGAAAAGTGCTATTTTCTGAATGTGTGACGGTCTACGACAGGCTTGAGGCTACAACGGTTTCGAAAACCGACCTGATGAAAGCCATATCGTTTCGGAAGTGTGTCGTTAGGTAAAAATTACACGACAAGCCTCGTAGAGGTATTTCCCATTCGACTTCTAGTCTGGTTGCTGAGGGATTTTTTGTGTACATTGCCCGTATACAAACAACTTTATGAAGCCAAAGACAATTTCTATGTACCATGAGAATATTGGTAGCTGAAATTTGTTCTTCAATTCCTGACAGGGCACTTGAAAATTGACGTTGGTAGTGAAAGTTTTATTTGTGGCAGATTCAGAATGAGAGCAATCCAGAGGTCCAATAGGCTGTATGCCAAAGGTTCGAATAGCGTTTTTTGAACAACTTTGAAATTGGTTTATATCATACATTTGGCTTCTGTCAGATTGTTCCTCAGTCCTGTTTGAATTCATCCCGTGCCCTTCTTTTGCTTGTCTGTTGCAAATTGCGTGCCGTACATGAAAAAAAGTTATCGGACCTTCGTTCAACTGTCCCACTGGGACTTTTCGATGCTGGAGCGATCGAAGCAGGTGTATTCCTGAGACTTTGACGTGTGATGGTGTGGACAATTGTTTTGACAATTCCGATGAAAATAATTACCTGTGTAAGTCTGTTGCCATCAGGATATCGATCACCTCTTACTTTTTGTTCCTTATTCCATGAATTATTCGTTTCTCACTTTACCGGACTATCGTCCGGTAGTCGAGTAATGCATAACTATGAACCCGCAAATCTCATTCCATATAATAGAAAATCAGTCATCTATGCATGCTTGGGAAGGGGTGAGGTAACTCTTATATCGGCAAAACATCATACCCCAAACTGTGATGTAATTCAGTCCTAAGAATACACGCGCAACACTGCACAACACGTAACATCAACCAAAAACGCAAGTGAAGAAACGCTCGGTGAGATTTATGAATTACTGTTTTGATTAGTTCGGAAGCAAAAGGTTGCCCCTGGCTTTGTACAAACCAGGCTGAGTTTCAGAGGTTCACAGAATCAAGGTAGCATAACCAATAGAATAGGATTGGGAGATGAACAGCTATAAATCATCATATCAAACGGTTTTTAAGGCAAACAAAAAGATGCATGATTATAGACGAGATGATTGTTAAAGACAGTTATGACTATGTGAACCATTGGCGAAACACAATCAAACGGACAAGGCGGAGAATGGGTCACAGTGCCTCGAAGATCCCATCCAAACTGTCATCAAAACAGGTAACGCAATCAGCCTGAATGTGTAGAATATCTGGTGAAGTCAATTTCTCAAACAGAAGCAAACTATGGTGATCCAATACTTCGGAATAAGACCAGCCATGGAGCTGCAGGATTC